ACTGTGGAAAACAGTAAGGAGATTCCTCAAAAAGATTAGGAATAGACTTATCATATGACCCAGTAATCCCACTCCTGGGCTTGTATCCAGAAGGAAATCTACTTCAGGATGACACCTGCACTCCAATGTTCATAGCAGCACTATTTACAATAGCCAAGACATGGAAACAGCCTAAATGTCCATAGATAGATGACTGGATAAAGAAGAGGTGGTATATTTATACAATGGAATATTATTCAGCCATAAAAACTGACAACATAACGCCATTTGCAGCAACACGGATGTCCCTGGAGATCTCATGCTAGCTGAAGTAAGCCAGAAAGAGAAAGAAAGATACCATATGAGATCGCTCATTTGTGGAATCTAAAAATAATAATAATAACAACAACAACAACAACAACAACAACAACAACATAAATACAAGACAGAAGCAGACTCATAAACATAGAAATACAAACTTGTGGTTGCCAGGGGGGAGGGGAGTGGGAAGGGACAGACTGGGAGTTTGAAATTTGTAGATACTGTCAGGCATATGTAGAATAGATAAACAAGATCATACTGTATAGCACAGGGAAATATATACAAGATCTTGTGGTAGCTCACAGCGAAAAAGAATGAGACAATGAATATATGTATGTTCATGTATAACTGAAAAATTGTGCTCTACACTGGAAATTGACACAACATTGTAAACTGACTAGAACTCAATAAAAAGGAAGTTTATAATATATAAATAAAGATTTTCCAGGAAGTGATTGGGTTCCAGGAACTTATTACCTCATATGACTTATGATTCTGTTTAAATAGGCATTACCGCCAGTATTTCATGTGCAGAAACAACAGGTAAGAAAAGCAAGTGGTGCTTAGTGTTACACAGCAAGGAAGCAGCAGACACCTCTAAGTCCTAACTTTAAACTCTAGACCCAGGGATCTCAGTACTACTCCCTAGCTTCATAATTTCTGTTCAGGGATATCAGTTTGGCAATAGGGCCATCAAAAAGCAATGTCAACATCTGAGGTCAAGTCAGATCAAAGGATGATGCTGGGAAGGAATGGGTGCCTCTTCTTTAACTAATGGAGTAACTGAGTCAAGAGGTATAAAATCTGGATCCATGCTAAACAGACAAGCAGGCAGTTACACTGCATTCTTTTCTGAAACCAAGATTATTTTTGTTGCTGCTGTAAGACTCTGTAACAACCAGTCACTATTACTATATGCAAAGGTAAATTAGAAATAAATCTTCCACTTAGACTTCCTCACTGGTTCTTCAGTAGCTCTACAGGCAGGTAGGGGTACATGCAAGTCCTTTGGCTAAAATATATTACCTCCCACCATCTAAAGTGACAATGTAGATATTGCAATAAAAAGGCATAGTTATTAGTCTTTTAACTTGTCAGGACATAATATTTTTGCAGTTAAAAAAGCACGAGCATCTCATGTATAGATAAGTGTACCAAGTATTGCTACAAATTCAGTTTTTCAACTGTAAATTAGAAATACAAATAAACTAATCTTCTTCCATTAATGAAATATGCCAAAGAAATACAAAAATTATACACCAGCAAAATGAGACATATTCCAGTTATTTATAACTTTCCTAAGGGCATAAAAGCACTCGATTCCAATCCATGAAAGAGTCAGTCAGTCAACTCCCTGAATCATACTAAGCAGCGTGGTATAGTCGATGGTAAAGAGAGTTCCACTAATTTATTCTGTAATTTAATGTCTGGCTACTTAGTACCTAGTGAAAGGCACCCTAAGAAGCACAGAAAGAAGTGTGTTGCTCTACCGGTGAAAGTTAAAACAAGGGCTCTAAAAGAAAAGCAAGGAAAAACACAAAAAGAGGGAGAGAAAGGAGGGAGAAGAGAAGGGAGGAGAGGACGGAGAGGAAAGGAGGAAAGGGAGAGAGAGAAGGGAAGACAGAGGATGGAAGGGGAGGGAGGGAGACCAGGGAGCATGATCAAAAAATTACCTGAAGACAGACAGGAAAATAAAGACATTGAAACAAATTACCAAGATTGGAAAGTGGCTAAAAGTGAAAAGAAGTTAACACAATTTACAAGTTCCAAAATTAAGATTACCTAAAGATAGTCAAAGATTTTGCAGCTCTTTCACTACTGAGAAACTGTGACTAAATGAAATAGTCCTGAACATTGGGACAAAAACAGGAAAAGGATCTTGTGGCCTTTAGGTAGAGTAATGATATCTTCAAAGTCCTCCAAAATTAGATTTATTGAAAATGAACAAAACTCGTTCAGAACCACCAAGAATAAGTAAATTTCTTTTTATCTTGTCATGAAATGGAATTTGATGTTTTCTAATAAGCATGAAAATTAGTCCTAAGGCAAATACAAACACTAACGCCAGAATTCAAAAATAGATGGCTCTAGATAAACAACAAGGACCTACTGTAGAGCACAGGGAACTACATTCAATATCTTGTAATGAACTATAACAAGGAAGAATATGAAAAACATATACATAAAACTGTATAACTGAATCACTATGCCATACACCAGAAACTAACAAAACATTGTAAATCAACTATACTTCAATTAAAAAAAATAGATGGCTCATTAAATATGAGCTCACAGACTTAACTGAATGACTGGCTGAAGATTAACTTAAGTAGGTAGCTGGTGTATAATACTGCGTAAGGATTTCTCAATTTTTTTTACTTTTCCAGGGTGCCTTATCTTCAAACATTAACTGCCTTAATCTAACCTTCCCAAGCCAAAATAGTCTTAAATCCTACATTTGTTCTAAGCTAAAAATGAAGAATGAGAAACCAAAGTGGACAGCCATATGTTTTGGTACAACTAAATTTGTAATTAGTTGGAAAAAAAGGTATTACACTTACTCATACCACTGTTTATTGTGTTTTCGGTAAAGCAACGTATCCAAGGCAACAGCATTGACATCCAGAGCTCCTGGGGAAGGCCACTGGTTGGTGAGGTGGGCAGTTAACTCTTGTCTTGATCTTAAATCATTATTCTTTAGCACAGTCCTGTGAATATTAAGATGGTGAGTGCTTTTGTCTTCACTGCTCTGCATGGCAGAGGAACCTAATGGCATCAATTTAGGCCGCCCCCAAATTCACCTTTTTATGGTATGTTAACAGACTGTGAACAGAACTACAGGTAGGCTAGTCAGGGCTAGGACTGTTTTGTCTACAAATCACTACCTGTGAAATTCAGATTTCCTATCTCTTCCCCAGAGATACTGCTAAAGGACTAAGGGACTGCATTTTACATCTTAACTACAAAGCAATGGTGATATCTTAAAGTTACAGGTGATCAGATGACAGTCAAAAATATCAAAGAAAGTAAAGATTCCATGTGTGTGATTCTCTAGCTTCAAAATTCACAATCTACTGAAATAATTTAACTCAGTAAACAAAACAATTAAAATGAATAAAAATAAACTAATGCAGAAAAATGATGGAAAACAGAAAAATCCATGAGGTTCCTATAATTGTTTTTGATAGAGGGGACCACTAATAAAGCCTCACAAAATGATTAAATCAACAACTGCACTGAACGATATAATCCACTGGAAATATTTCAACTACAGAATTAAGCCATTACAACTCATGGTTTATTTTCGTTTTTGTAGAGCTGTTATAACAACTTGCAAAAGAACTAGCTTTCTGCCACAATTTCAACTTCACAAACCAACTGATCATTCTCACAAGACTAATTCAACATTTGAACTAGTAGTTAATCTAACGCAGAATTCTGTTTGTACAGCTCTTACTCTACCTCCAAAAGACCTTAAAGTTCCACCTGAAAAACCTACTTTCTGAAACAGGAGTCCACAACCTCAGTGTATCCATGTTCTGAGCCATCAGCTCATATCAGAAAGTAACATGTGCCTGCCACTGACTTGCAGAGACAACAGTCCTGCTATAGGTGGCAGAGTCACTGGTGGGCTAATAAAACAACCCTGCACTAGAAAAAATCAACCTGCACACCTCTGGCTATTAACCGTGGTTCTAACGGAATAACCCTATTTTTTATATGTTTCTAGCAAGCTACATATGAATACTCATCTGACAGGATACCTGTGTGCATTTAAAACTATTTGCTTCATTATGTCCATAAAGAAACAGTATCTAATGTAAACAGTAGACTGTCTCTCAGAATGGAATACTAGAGGTGAAACAGGCAGCAGTCGACGACGAAGTATCCCATTAAGATATTCCTCTAGGCTAGGTCCAAAGATTCCATTTCAGTGGGAAAGGAATGAAAAATTTTTAAAGGACTTTAAAGGGACTTTATCATTGGTTTTTATGAAAACAACAAAGAGTGATTAGAAAACTTCTAAGACTGACAAAAAATCGTATAAAACAGAGATGGAGATTACTGAAGAGAACCTATTATAAATAAACTATCATTATTTTGGGTTCTCTTGCTAGATTTTTCTTTCACATATTCCCTCTTTAGGGGTTCTAGTGCATGTCACTGGAGAGCTCAATTCCAGTGTCGTAAGTGGCCTACAAGAAATAGTCAGAGCAGAATGCAGGAAAGGCAAACGTGCATCTGAGGAAACAACATTGCTAGAACTCAGTTAATGATAAGTAATTGAATTATCAGTAATTATCATCAGAAATCCTAATGATACTGTATTCTCTGGGAAGCTCTGGTACTCGAACAGAACATAAGAGATTTCAGCATACTCATTAGGGCCACTTTTCATCCACACTGCATCTGTTTCCCACCATTTGTGAGGAATGTGGACACACTAAATTCTGGCACTTGCCCTGTCAGAACAAGAAGGAAAGCTTCCTGGGGGATCCTGTGTAAGGAAGGCCCTCTCTCACCACTTCAGTACACCAGGGAGCAGGCAAGTGAATTAAGAGGCTGAAAACCCCATCCTTGAATTCTGAATCTTGACTGGAGTTCACTGAGAGTAATAAACAAAAGAAGCAGTTTATTCATTCCAGCAGTGAGGTCCTAACTAAAATGTACCAGTGAAGATACATTCTTGATGTTCTGACTTCCCAACTCTCTGAAGTACCTCTTTCCAGGTCTACTTTTCCAGTCCTTTATCCATTCTATGAGTTACTGATGTCAATCTAATGAATTCCATTTGTGCTTAAGAGTTGGTTGTGGTTGCGTGCAATCAGAGAATATTATTGCTTACCTTACAACAAACAAAATATATCTAGTTAACTTCAAGATCTACTCAGTAGTAATCCAAATGATGTTAATATGAAGAATGAGGATATTTTTCCTTAGCTGGCCAAACTTAAAAATAGGTTCATCTTAAACAATTACTGTTATTTCATAGTGCAAAATCAGGGGCAATTAAAGGTAAAAACTACATGATCATTAGTATTTAACTGAATAAAACTCTAACCAATGCTAACATTACTGAGCTAATCTAAAAACTGAATCATTCTATATGAGATAGATTCTACTTGACATTTCGATGACAAGTCAATTTAACATTCTCTCATTAAGGTAATAATTCTACAGAAAGATACATTAAGGTAAAATTATTTAATTTACTAAAAAAGTGGAAATAATATACCTAACTTAAAGAACTTTATTGTGGAAGCTACCTCTAAATTAGTAAGATAGCTAACTTCTCCTAGATTCTCAATAGAAATTATTCAAGAACTTGGCCACAAAAGAAAAAAAATCCAATCTTTTCCTCCCCAGGTTTACTGAAGTATAATTGACAATTTAAAATTGTACACATCTAAAGTGTACAACTTGATGATTTGATATACATGTACAATATGAAATAACCACTCAAGCTAATTAACATATCCAGCAACTTACATAGTTAACTTCTTTTTTGTGTGATGAGAACACTTAAGATATACCCTCTTATAAAATTTCAAGTATACAGTATACAATTGTTAACTATATATTAAATTGTTGTACATCAGATCTCCAGAATTTATTCATCTTGCATAACTGAAACTTTGTACTCCTGAACCAACATCTCCCCAAATTCCCCTCTCTCTAGGCCCTGGTAACAACCATTCTGTTCTCTGTTTCTACAAGTTTGACAATTGTAGAGTCCACACATAAGTAGGATCATGCAGTATTTGTCTTTCTGCATCTGGTTTATTTCACTTAGCATAATGTCACCATGTTGTCATGAATGGCAGGATTTCCTTCTTTTTTAAGGCTGAATAATAGTCCATTATGCCTATATGTGTACATATAGACCCTGTGTCTATATGTACACATATAGGCATAATATTTTATTCATCCCTTCATCACGGATACATGGAAATGAAGTTACTTCTACCTCTTGGCTACTGTGAATAATTCTGCAATTAACACGACAGGCAGGTATCTCTTCAAGATCCTGAAACAGAGCAGGACCCTGAGGAGCTCTCCCAGGCACAAGAATTTCTGTGTCCTCCCTGTTTCTCATTCATATTAAAATTCCCAGTATCTAGCACAGTTCCTAGTATAAAGCAGGTACTCAATAAGTGTGTGTGTGTGCATCAGAAAATATTATTTCAAGGGTTTATCTTTCTAAAATGGAAATCTGATCTGAAATTGGCAACTCCACAGAGCTCCCTTGTATGGCATATAAAGTCCTTTCTCATCTGGACACACACACACACACACACACACTTGCCCTCTATGTCTGAGTAACCAGGAGCCACCATGCAGTTTCCTGTATCTGTGGGACTCTCTAATCTCTCCATGTTTGGCTTTTGTTGTTTTCTCTGCCTGGAAGGCCCATCTCTTCCTGTACCAGTCTATCAAATGTCTAAACCACTTTAAGGAATTAGAATACGCATCACCACCTCCTTAAATTCTTCCCAGTTATTCTCCTTTACAGCAAATGCTGTGTTTCCCACTGTATCTATCACAGCACTTGCAACATCTTACTGCTCTTACTATTTCTATGTCCTCTGTAAGCACTTTGAGGGCGGGAATTAGAATAGACTTATTTCTGTATTCTTAGCACCAATTCCAGCATCCAGGACAGAAGAGGGCTCAATAAACATCAGTAGAATGAACAAATGTTCAACTATAAAACAGTAAATTTTATCATTACCAAAATAAGCTATGGCCCACTTTTCTAAATTTAAGGACAATACAGAATCTTTGTGAAAAAGCACTTTGAAAAATTATCAGTCTGCAAAGGAAGATCGCAAATATAGAGTAATATATCCTACTTTGAAACTACGAGAAACTAAATACCAATGCACTTTTCTTGCTTAAAATAACAAAACATCCAGGTAGCTTTAATGTTTAGGGAAGCAATTAGATTGCTGTTAAGAGCGTAATAAATCTTTGCTAAGCATCACAACAAACTTATATTCTACTGGTTCTGTACCTTGACTATACATTCGAATAACTGGGGAAACACTTAAGAAATATTGATACCCAAGTCTTATCTCAGATCAATGAAATGAGCTTCTATGATGGTGGGGCCAAGCATCATAATTTTTTTAAAGCTCCCTACATGATCTAAGATAACTTTTTTCCCTTGTGCAATAACAAAACTACATATATCTCTGACTGTTACTTTTTGGTCTCTTTCAGTAAAGGTCCTTTCCTTCAGCTAATCCTTAAATTACCATGTCACCAACAACTCGCTCCACTCCTATTCTCAAAGTGCTCAGAGTCTCTGTAAATACAGAGTACCCCAGTTTCAAAAACAAGATCCTACATTCTTTGAGCCCTCAATATTACATTCATTATTTTAAATGAAAGGCAAAAACATAAAATTTCCAGTTTGGTCTCTTTCCTTTCAGACACCAAGCTCAAGTCTACTGTTACTTACAAGGTCTTTTAAAAGATGTAGAATCCCATACTCTATATTTTGACAGCAGAGCTTAGCCAATTCAAAACTGTTAGTTTGTTGATGGGTTTGATTCTTTACCTTGTGTCTCCAAACCTGAGGGTGATCCTCTCTTCCTCACTCTGCTCCCTGCCCACCTACCTGGGAGGCTGTGCTGATGCTCATGATGCAATTATACTGGCAGCTGTTAGACAGACATAAGGCATATAACCCTTGGCACTGAGC